ATCCACCCCCTCAGTTATACTAGATCGAATACCTATTTGTATCTCCTGTGATTTCTGCCACAGATTTCAACAATCAAGTTAAATGAGTCCCAGATAGATAGATAGATAGATAGATAGATAGATAGATTGCATTCCACTAGAACACAGTTGAGTAACCCAGTAACCTCTTGGTTAAAAGTTTTACTAATTCCACCAAGGTATATGTTAAATGCCAGTAATTCCTTAACTACCAATAGGTCTTCATGGCTATCTCAAATCTTGGTGCTGAGATTATTTGGACCTCTGTTTTCTTGCTCTGGGTTTGTGCATGCTATTACACTTATGTGAGTTCATATGCCCAGCTACCTTGTTGTTTGGTGAGGAAACTGTTTCCTAGTAATAATCAACCATGTTTATTGCTTGCAATCTTTCCACTCCTTCACAATAATCCAAGATCCCGGTGAGGAGTGGAGATGATGCAAATGTCCCTAAGGACTGACAGCCATCTCCTTTTATTCTGTGTACCTTGGCCAATTGCTTTTCTCTGTATTAGTCACTGTTATGGTTCCAGCCACACAATGGTGGCAGGCACATCTAAGTTCCAGTGCCACACATGTGTAGACAAGCACTCAGGCAAAATACTTAGCCAGCCCTTGGGACCTTAAAACGCACGGTCGTGTCACCTACATATGATGCAGCTATGTATGCCCTTGCGTGCATGCATGAACTCCTTCATCTGCATATGACACAGCTAAACCCTCCCCATGCGCATGTGCGAGGCACCCTTTAAAGGCTGGACATGCCGTCTCCAAGCTCTCTCTCCCCAAACCACCTTTCTCAGGCATGCCACGTGTCTCTCCTCTAAAAAGCTCTTAAGTGTGTTTTGTTGTGCATTCTGTTTTCTCTCAGGCCAGGCAATTTCAGTCACCACCTGCTCTGAAGAGAAGCATCTTTTTGTATTAGTTAATTTTGAAATCACCATTTTAACAGTTTGTGATATAATACCTGTTTGTTTGATAATTAAATAGTTAATTGTGATTGTGATGACCGTATAAATAGAAATTTGGAAGTCAGCAGCCTAAAGACAAAGGGTAATATGTTTGGACTCTCATTTACAGTCTAAAGAAAATGAAAAGGGAGAACCTGAGATGTCTCAGGGTGAATGGAAGTTTAGAGAGTATTTCCATGGTACAAGATGAGTAGAAAGTGTCTGAGTAACGAAGGAGAGCAACATCCTTTGGAGTGCAACAAAGAAAAAACACTGGAATCCAGAAAGAGGAGTCAGGACCCATATAAACAGAAAAACAAGACGGCAATGTAGTGAGAAAAAGAAAACAGTCACACATCCAGTGTGGACAGTTAGTAAAATGGGGGACTCATACAGGAGAAGGCATCTGGGCAAAGAGCCATGTTTCTGAAAGAGTGGCATTCTTTTCAAAGGAGAGAAATGTGATGCTGGTATGTGATAACAAAGAGAGCAATTCTCTGTGACAGTGCTTCTTCATAGAAGACAAGATTTGTCAACACGGGGACTCTAATTTTTCACAAGTCATAGAGTATTATAACCAGAGGCCCACTGTGATATGATATGGATCAGGCAAAACCAAGGAGCCTGGGACTCACACTGAGCTTGTGTGAGCCAGATGGCCACAATAGACAGTTATGGACACTGGCCTATTCATATTGTCATGTCTCTCCCTCTGTGATGAGAAGTAAACCTATTCCTTGTGGGTATTTTGATAGTATTGGTATACTGATCCAAGATTCAACAAATTATTTATACAATTTTTCTCTGTGTACTTGGTTTACTGCACCATGATGCTAAGAACTTTGAGGTTATAGGCTTCCCATATATATGTACTCACTGCTCTATGATCTGTAAAATCGGTGAGGCTAATTTGCCACAGTGTCATGCCCCAAAGACCAGATTTATTGTAAATTTCCTCCCATAAGTGCAAAAATGGATTGCAGTTTCTCTAGTGCACAGTGAGATACAACTCACAAACTCTTAATATTATTGAAGTCAGCAGTAGATCCTTTCATGTAAACAGCTGTTGAATTTTTGTTGATTGTCATCTTTTTGGTCATGAAAATACCTTGATGAGCCCAGTCCATATCTTGCACAGAGCATGTTATTAGCCCACAGTATGGTGAGAACAGAGGACATTATTAGACAAGAAATATATTACTAAACAAACCCAGACCCTGTAGCAGATTCCAGTATTAGTGGATATTGACAAAACTTCTCCAGTTGTTTAATTTCTCTCTTTTTATTTATTATTAATAAATTTTAAGTATTTTTCACTTTATTTTATATTTTGACATATTGCATGTGTTCAATTTTCTTCCTCTTTGAAACTACGTATTTTTATTATTTTTTTGTGTACTTTGTTATAAAACTCTACTCCCTAGATTTCTCTTCTATACTTCCTTCTCTTGCTGTTTCTATTTTATTATAGAAAATTTTTTTAATTATTAATTACTTTAAAAACTACCAATCCATTTGGACCTTGGGAGCTCAGTCCAGTGCTCCAGTGTGGGTCTCTGTCTCTATTTCCATCTATCACTGTGGCTATGGGATAAGGCCAGTTCAGGCACCCTCTCCTCTGCTATCCAAGGAACAAGCTAGGGACATCTCCTTGAACACCTGGGAACCCCTCTTGAGTCAAGTCTCTTGCCAACCCTAAAATGTCTCCCTTAAGATATCTACTTCCCTGCTCCTGTAACATGATCGGGGGCCTGCTTGTTGGGGTTTCTGTCCTGCCAGGTTCCCACTTCTGTTTAGCCCCAAAGAAAATCACACATAGGTCTCCATAAATTATAAGCTGATTGGCCCATTAGCTCTAGCCTCTCACTGGCTAACTCTCACATCTTGATTAACCCATTTTTCTGATCTATGTTAGCCATGTGGCTCAGTACCTTTTTTCAGTGGGGCAGATCACATCCTGCTGCTTCAGTGGTCTGGGCAGGAGTGGGAAGAATAAACTTCCTCCTTCCCAGAATTCTCCTGTTCTCATTACATCATTTCTACTTCCTGTCTGGTTTTCCCGCCTATACTTCCTGACTGGCCAATCAGCATTTATTTAAAACATGATTGACAGAATACAGACAATTCTCCCACACCATGCTCTCATATCCACCCTTCCTCCATCTCAACCATCCCATTCCCCCAAGCACTCCCCAATCCTCCCCTTCTCCCTTCTCTCTCCCCATCTCCCCTTACCCCCTATCCCAACCCCACCCCCATGCTCCCAACTTTTGCCTGGCAATCTTGTCTACTTCCAATATCCAGGAGGATAACTATATGTTTTTCTTTGGGTTCACCTTCTTATTTAGCTTCTCTAGGATCATGAACTATAGGCTCAATGTCCTTTGTTTATGGCTAGAATCCACTAATGAGTGAGTACATACCATGTTCATCTTTTTGGGTCTGGGTTATCTCACTCAGTAAAGTGTTTTCAATTTCCATCCATTTGCATGCAAAATTCAAGATGTCATTGTTTTTTTTGTTTTGTTTTGTTTTTTTTTTTTTTTTTTTACTGCTGAGTAAAACTCTAAAGTGTGTATGTGCCACACCTTTTTTTTTTGTTTTGTTTTGTTTTTGTTTTTGTTTTCCAGACAGGGTTTCTCTGTGGTTTTGGAGCCTGTCCTGGAACTATCTCTTGAAGACCAGGCTGGTCTCGAACTCACAGAGATCCGCCTGCCTCTGCTTCCCAAGTGCTGGGATTAAAGGCATGCGCCACCACCGCCTGGTGCCACACCTTCTTTATCCATTCATCTATTGAGGGGCTACATAAATACCTATTAGTATACCAAACTCCTTGTCAAAAAAAAAAAAAAAGATATGGTGGCTCACAATCATCTGTAATGGGGTCTGCTGCCCTCTTCTGGCCTGCAGGCATACACACAGAATATTGTATACATAATAAATAAATATTTAAAAAAATAAATAAAACTAAATAGATCAAGATCTATCAACAGGAAGATTTGTTCACTAAAGCAGTTTTACAATATGAAAGGATACTCGATCTGCTCTATACAGAACAAAGAACAATCTTAAAGCAACAGGAAGGAAACAATGGGTACCAGTCCCTGTTCACTTGGGCCCCCTGGGACTACTCTTGCTTCAGCTGCTGCAGGCTCCTAACACTCCTTATAACGCTACTCACAATCAGTGCCTTCCGTCTTCCAAAGTGTTACAAATTCTAAGTCCTGACAAAAAAGCTAAGATACTTGTTCTCTGTTGGCACTATCAGCCCATACAATAGACAGAAATGACTGCTCCCTGGCAGGGATTGGAAAGGGACACATAAAACAATGGGGGAATGATATAGCAGCCTTACTTGGTGTTAAGATTAGAAGCCATCTTATCAAATGGTCAAAATAAGTTAATTCCTGTTTTCCATAAAACTTAAGTTGGACTGTGCCTTGACCACTTTTCTGGAATTTGACATGCTCAACACCCTATACCTTGACCTTCACCCTGATAAGATGCTCTACCAAATAGTTTTAAGATGTTCTGCCATGTTCCTACTTAACTAAAAATCCCCTGGAAACCTCCTAACCTTGCAGTTTGGGGGCTATAAAAATTTTCTATGTTTGGGCCTGTTCTCTTAACCCAGCTTTGGGTAATAGCCCTGACAGAAAATAAAGCTTGCTTAACTCAACCAAAAATTTGGGTTGGTAGTCTTTACTCTTTGTAATATTTCAGTGAAATTTACATGACTGATCAGGGACTGAATCATCCTCTTCCAGGAATGAACTCCAACTAATTAAATTGGTAATCCACTAGAAAGTAGTCAGTCCTTAAACAGCATACACGCACACGCACACACACACACACAGACAAGTAACTCATTGGGCTGTATTTATATATTTGTATGTATACATGTAACTGTAATAATGAAAAAGACTATCAATTTGAGGGAGGGAGAATTGGAGGGTGTGAAGGAAAAGGGTAGTGGGGTGATACAATTATTAACTAAAAATGTCAAAAATAAAAGATGAAACAAAAATTATTGGCCAAAAATGTTTTAATTCAGATGTCAACTATAAACAATTGTGTACCAGATTTCTGCTTTTCAACATGAATTGCTGAGATTAGACACGATAACAGGTTCTATGTTGGTTAAACACTATAAATACATTAGCAATCGCCCTCTTGAGGCAATAGATAGCACTTCAGTTTCAATCTGAATAGTTTTATAAAAATACCCATACAACTCTATATGAACATATGTTTAACAAAAAATAAACGGGGTAGCTGTTTAATGTGAAAACTGTACATTCTGATTTGAATCTGAAACGTTGCCCAAAGGCTTTTGTGTTGGATGCTGGGTTCTAAGATTGTGGCAATGCTTTTGAGATGATATAAACTTCAGGAAGATTTTTTTCTAATGTATGCCACTGTTAGATACCTTTAAAGAATAAGCGTGATACTCAGCCTCTTCTTTGCTGTGTCCTAACTATAGGATAAAAAGTGCTTCTGCCAACCACGATCTACTCATGGTCAGAATCAAGAAACTATTGACTATATGAAATTATGACCTAAAATAAATATGTACACCCTTATACTGGTTCTGTCAGCTAGTTGCCCACAGTAATGCCAAGTTAACTAATATGACCACAACATTTTAATACTCTGTGGAAGTCTGAAACTGTAATCAGAATCACATACATAAAAAGGCATGCACCCTATCCCAATGTATTTGTTACATAAGTAACAAATATTCTGTACTTAGGCTGAGTGCCCTTAATTCAGATTTCTAAAACAAAAATATATAATATTGAACATACTTATACTTAAGGTGTGTTCAAACCTGTTCACTAAATTTGAGCATTAAATAATAAATTTTCATTTATGTCAACCACAAGTGCTGCAGGTTGGAGGTCAATTTATGCTGACTGGGAATAACCTTCCTGCTTGTACACACATTGAACATGATTTGAAATAATTTTTAAATATTTTATTTCCAATTAACGCCCAAGTTATATGAACAGAATTTCTTTACATTGTAGGATTTTAATCCAAATGAGGATATGTTTCATTTCAACTCCTTCATTATCTTCTTCAGCTTTCTTGGCTTCTGCTTGGCTGTGATGATCAAGGTATACGTATCTACTGCTATGAACTCTGAACTTCACACTACCCTCATTTTTCTTGATCTTCACAGATTTGGCATCCTATCACTGAGCTGTGAAATCAAATCTTTCATTTGCGCAAATTTTTGTAACACAGTGATGGAACATTTAGACATACAGACAACAGCCAAAGAGCTCTAGAAGTTTTCAGTCTTAATTTTTTTAAACCTTAAAATTTTATGCTGGGCAAAAGAATAGCACATACATGTAATCTAAGCACTTTGTAAGAGAGGAAGAGCAGGACTTTAATATTAACCAGGGTGTATAGCAAGACCTTCTCTCCAAATTGAAAAGTTAGGGAGATTTTTCCAAAAATGATAAAACAAATATCCTTACCAACTGGATGGACTACCTCCAGAACTGCTTTTATTTTATCAAACTTAATTAGTATAAAATACAGGCCTAGAGATAGCTCAGAGGGAGGATAAAGACACTTGCTGCCAAGTCTAACAACCTGAGTTTTATACTAAGGACCCACCAGGTAGGAGGAAACTAACTTTGGAGAGTTTGTCCTCTGCCCTTGACATATGTGATATGAAACGCATACACAAGTAAATATAATAAAAATTTTAAGGATATAACCAGCAATCTATATGAAACACAGCTAACATTATTAGTGGTCAAGCACTCTGCCACCGAGCTACATCCACAGCCCTAACTGCTTAAATTCAAGTGGACTCACTTTTGAGTGAAGCGATGCCCATTACCATAAATTTCCACAATATTCCACACGTTTCTACAAAACTCCTATAGCATATTTGATTCAAATGGAAGTAAAGTATGGCAACATTTTCCCTAATTGTGTTCTTGTTCTTTGTCACATACAGGGTTTATGACACCATTAGATTCTCAAATTCTTGTATTTTTAATCATCTGGTTGTTTCATCTGGTTGCTGTTTTTTTTAAGGTCTCATGTAACAGAGGCTGGGTTTGAAATAGCTCTGTAGCCAAGACTATAATTCCTGATCTCCTTCCTCAATCTTCCAAGTATTGAGATTATAAGCATGCACCAACACACCCAGCAATGAGTTCCAAATTCTATTCAGAGTTGGGGGCAATTCTTCACCATCATTGGTTTCACATCAAGTTCTGATAGTATGTTAGGAGAACCTTAAGTAGAAAACTTGGCCCTATTTTCTTTTAAGTCATGGTGTCATCCTCTAGTGCCAGAGTACAAATGACCCCCTACCATAAACATATCTTATGTTGGGATAAAAGCAATCACTAATGTACCAGCTAAATTAACTTGCCACAGTAAATTGTGAGTTTGATTTTTTTAAAAAAAAGCATAAATAAAGGTTTTTCCTTCACTGTTTATTCATAAGGTTTAATCTCTCATGTGAGTACTCCTATGTACAGTAAGATCTGATCTGTCATGTGGGTAAATGTTTCCCAATGTTCTTTACATTCACAGGTCCCCTTACCTGTAAGAAGTGTTAGATGTTTAAGTAAAGTTTGTTTTATGGTGCAAAGCTTTCTTGCATTCTTCATATTCATAGTACATTGTCTGATGCTGCAAAGTGTTACTCAGCAAAGATTTGTTACATTGTTTGCATTCACAGGCTTTCTCCATGGTATGAATCTTCTGATGCCTTCTAAGGTTTGACTTATCATAGAAAGATTTCCTACATTCCTTGCATTCATAGGGTTTCTCACCTGTATGAGTCCTCTGATGTACAGTGAGGTGGGAAGTGCAGTAAAAAGCTTTCTCACATAACTGGCATTCATAGGGTTTGTCACCTGTGTGAGTTCTCTGGTGTCGAGTCAAGCCTGATTTCCGGTAGAATGTCTTCATACACTGCTTGCATTCATAGGGTTTCTCACCAGTATGAGTTCTCCAATGATGGCTGAAACTTGACTTACAGATAAACGACTTCCTGCACACTGTACATTCATATGGCTTCTCGCCTGTGTGAGTCCTCTGATGTACAGTTAAGTAGGACTTGGTGGAGAAGGCTTTCCCACATTCTGCACATTCATAGGGCTTCTCACCTGTATGAATTCTCTGATGTAAAGTGAGTTGGGGCTTTTGGCAAAAAGCTTTCCCACATTCCTTACATTCATACGGCTTCTCACCTGTGTGAATTCTCTGATGGTCAGTGAGCTCTGACTTACGATAGAAAGCTTTCCTGCATTCTAGACATATATATGGTCTCTCACCTGTATGAACTCTCTGATGCTGAGTGAGGTGTGACTTTTGGCAGAAAGCTTTCCTACATTCATTGCATTCATAGGGCTTCTCACCAGTGTGAGTACTATGATGTCTGTTGAAGCTAGTTTTCCAATGAAAGCACTTTCCACATATTTTACATTCATAGGACTTTTTCCCTCTGTGGATTTTCTGATGGAGTTTCACTTCTGACTGCTGAGAAAACTCGTATTCCTCCTGGGCAAAGAGTTTTTCTCCTGCATGCTGTACCTTATGTTTTGGAAGGTATGATTCAATAATGAAAGGGTTCTCAAAGTCACTACATTTGTAATGTTTCTCTCCAGGGTGTCTTTGCTCATTTTCATCAAGGTCAGACTTGTTATACTTTATTTCTGATATGTTACATTCAAAAGATTTCCCCCTTATGTGAGCCATCTCTTTGCCAATAAAAGCTGTATCACCTAAAGACTTTGCATATTCACTGAATTTATGAGTCAGTAATACTGCTTTTGTGTTGAAGGATTTCCCTGGTATAAGACTTTGAAAAGAACTTTGTGAATTTTCAGACTTGTACAGAGTAACATGCTCTGGATGTTTGATGGATTTTACAGTTCCATTCAGGTCATCTGGTTCAACTTCTAGCTCATCAGCATCACTACGGAGATAAACATTCTTCCACAGAATAAACTTTCCAGGACTCATTCCTCGTGGGTTCTCACTCTTTCTATTCTGATTTGAAACATGGTTTGCACTCACACTGAAAGCCTTCCCTACTCCAGTCAAATCCTTTGATGTATCATTGTCGAGCACAACTTGCCACACATGCCTTGTTTTGGCTTCTGGACAGAACTTGTCCAGGACATTCATTTCCTGGAAATCTAAAATGACTTAAAGTAAATTTATATGCACAAACTGGACTATCTTCCTTCCCACCACAAAGATAAACACCCCCCAAATCCCTATTATGCTTTAGCCATATATTTGCTTCCTACTCATTTTATCAAAATAAAAAAATAGAAAAATATTATATAGTATACCAAAATGATATCATTTTCCTTTGTCTAACTCAATGTCGTATGTGACTTCTAAATTTAACATACATTAATTATACAAACTAAGGCATAGTATGTTATTTTTATATATGTATACAATTGAATACTATTCACACCCAAAGAGGTTTCCTTGTTTTGTTTTTATATATGTACACAATGTACTCTGATAATATTCATGTCTATCTTTCTCTGCCCAGACCTATAGGTTCTCTTCCTCTTTCCAGACAATCCTCATTCTTTTTTTTAAAGTTTACTTAAAAATTAACACTTATCTTTTTTACTAGCCATTCATCATCCAAAACTGCATTCAACCACATTATCTGTTTCGCTTCTTTTCTCTGACTATTGGTAGTTTTGATTTTTAAAACATGTAAGAAAATATTTCCAATGTTATCTGTTCATTAGGGCTTGCTTTATGACCTCAAATTTGACTTATTTTGGAGAAAGCTCAGATGGATATCTCACAGCCACTGGATAGTATATACTATAGATGTCTCTTCAGTTACAGTGATGCACTCTGTTAACTGTGAGTTAGTTATTTATGATAGTAGATTATTTTAATCACTCAACTCCAATATTTATTTCACTCATGAAAGTGGATGTTGTCTAGTTCAAATCTGTTATATTAATTAGTGGAATATTATCCACTCCTGGAATACTGAAGTCACTCGCTATTGATATTGATCTGTCCAGAACTTCTGTCTTCCTTTGTGTCTAGAAATAATTTCTTATGGAACTCAGACACCAATATTCAGTGCATAAACATTTGAAAGAATTATATTTTAATGGATTGGTTTCTTTATAAATATTCGGTAAATTTCTTTATGCCTTCTAAGCTAACTAATCATGAAGTTGGCTTACTCATGTGAGCAGAGCTACTGCTGAGTCCCTTTACACTGTTTAAGAAACACTGTTCTTATTTTAAATCCATATGCACTTTTGCCAGTGACAGGAGATGCTGCAGAGAACAAACAAGATCTTAGTTTTTATTTTGTTTTATTGTGTTCTAGTCATCTGCTTTAAAGTTAAAAATACTTATATTTAGGACTCTTATTGGAAGATATACATTAAATCTTTATCTTAAAAGGTCATCTGGTTTGCTAAATTAATAATAGTGCTAGCATGTCTATACCCTCTACAATCTGTGATTATCTGATTTCATGTCTACAGCATAGTTCAGTCTCAAAAACTGAATAAGTGCCCTCTCAAGTTGAGAGTATAGGTATCTCTCAAGTCTAGGTATAGCACTATAACTGATTTCTTCTCCATTGCTAGTCTATTATGAAGAAGTTACTTTAAGACAAGGAACACTCAACTGGATTTAAGCCTTCTGAAAACTATTGGTTTCTCCTGTGTCTAGTTGTCCCTAAGGCAGACTACACGCTCCAGGCTTCCCTTATGCTTATGGCTTTTGGTTTTCCTCTGCATAGGGAAACAGTGAGAGGCTATCTCCTCTTGGTGTGGTGTGGTACGATGTGGTGTGGCATCAGGTGTGGTGTGGTGTGGTGTGTGTGTGTGTGTGTGTGTGTATGCTCACATATTACACTTTTGCTTTTCTGCTGCCCAGGAGACTTGGAATATTCTCCCCCTTTACCGTATCTCTCTGTATTCAGAGAATCCTAAAGTATTTTTAGTCTACAGCTTTACTATGGAACATTCTAATGCTATTCATGCAAATTCCACCTGTAACTGCCAAATAATTGATTAAATAGTAGCCTTAAACTACTCATTCATTAATTTGTAAGTCTGTTATTAATCCTCATGACTATAATCAAGTCTTTATTAGATAGTCACCTATATATTATGTAGTAAACTTGGAAAATACTCATCTCATAGTTAAATTACCTAAATAAAAATAAATGCAAAGCTACTTCCTTACAACTTAGTTTATTAGACTTTTCCTAAATTAGCACTATAAATGTTCTTCCTCCAAGATCCACATAGGATTTATACTAAGTTTAAAAACAACATAGGATTTATAATTAGTCTAAAAAAAAAGTTTAGTAACAACAACAAAAACAATCTTCTTTGGAGAGTGTATTAGACAAATGTCTAATATACCCGATTAGCCATTTTTAGGGCTGGGATGGGTAAATTTGGTGACCATATCTGATTAGTTCTCATCATCCTAATCTCTAAATAGTATGCACTGATGTACCTGGGATACTCTGGTCTGCGGTTTCTCCTACAATCCATGATCCAAGTCTTTGCTCCAAATTGAAGATCAACTCAGGTTTGGTCTTGCAGTGCCCTGTAAATGGGAAATGTTAAACTACGAAGTCAGGCAGAGAGAAAAAAGAAAATTATCTTCATTTCAGGAAAAATCAATGATAAAGAGTTTACATTCCATTCTTCACTCACCCAAGAACAGCAAGTTGCTGTAGTTCTCCAGCATCACATCCCTGTAGAGGGTCCTCTGACCTTCACTCAGCTCCTGCCACTCCTGCCAGGTGAATTCCACAGCTATATCCTCAAATGACACCAACCCCTGTAATGACACATTTCTCTTCAGCCTAGGAGCTCACCCTTCTATATGGGTATCTGTCTGACATAACACAAAACTTGATTTGTATTCTTTATCATGGCAGAAAGTATTATCTTACCTAAACATGAATTTATATAATTCAAGAAAATGTAATTATCCAGTTTCCCTTATGGATGCTGAATAATCTTTTTTAGTAGGAAGAATAGAATTAATAAAGTTCTTAGGAAAGCAGATGATATAGTTCAAAGACACAAGTACCAACAAATTGTTGATGTGTACAAAAAGTTAATGTTCATGTACAACAGAATGATGAAGTAGAAAACATTTGTTACTTACATACGCAGTACTCTTAAATGTTTACATGGATGTGTTCCATGAACAAGAAGCAACAGAAGTCCAGTTATGATAGCACAAAGGACACAAGACAGGCTAACAGAACCACACAGAATACCATGTCTGTGTAGTCTCATGTGATAAGTGAAAATACCAGTAAATGTTCAAATCATTTATTATCCAGTGATTTTGCACTTAAGTAATTCTAGCAGTTTAATTTCATGGATTTGTTAGTAGTCCATTACATACATAAATAACTGTTCAGAGGCTGGCAAAATGGCTAAGCAGTTAAGAGTTAAGTTCTCCCAGTGGACCCAAATTTGATTCCCACATTCTGGTCACAGTCATCTAGAGTTCCAATTCAGAGGATCAAAAGATGTTCAAGGGCACAAGCACACTCCTGTCACATAGACATGCAGACAAAACGTCCATACACCAATATATATAAAACTTTTAAAAATTAAACCTGCTATAAAAAATAATAATTGCAGTTATGGTCATTCTTTTATTTTTTTACTAATTCAAAAGGAACTGCTAGGGTCCACATAAAAGTGACTATTTTACTCATTTCCTAAATCAAAAGGTATAAAAAAAAAGCATGGGGTGTCATAAATTATGTAAATTACATGAGCCAATTGACCATCTACATCACTAACTCTGACCTCTAATTTATAGGCAATTGATGGTTTCAAAGGAGGCATTCACAAGGGGCCAACCATTCTCAAAGATTTATAGACATCTAGCAGAAAGACATTCCCTTCAATTGTGTAACTGTTTAATATTTACCCATGTGCCTATTAAGTAACTCCAACTAAGCTCACTGGTTCACCAGGACTTGAGTGGAATAGTTTTTTTCACCTGTCAGTGGTGTTTTTAAGGGTGAATGGAAATTTGATGTCTTCCCAAGAAATATTCACACAACTGCAGGGTTAACTTCTGTGCTCAATCACAAAAGTATTCAGCACTCTATAATGAGTTCTGGAAAATCTAACAAAACATAAGAAAGAGTGATGTGGGAGTGTCATATATCAATCTGTTGATTTCATTGGTTAAGCAATAAAGAAACTGCTTGGCCCTGATAGGTTAAAACATAGGGGGGGGGGGGTAGAGTAAACAGAACAGAATGCTGGGAGAAAGAAGCTGAGTCAGAGAGTCGCCATGATTCTCCTACCGGACACAGACGCAGGTTAAGATCTTCCCTGGTAAGACACCTCGTGGTGTTACAGGGATATTAGAAATGGGTTAGATCGATATGTAAGAGCTAGCCAATAAGAGGCTGGAACTAAAGGGCCAGGCAGTGTTTAAAAAAATGCAGTTTCCGTGTAATTATTTCGGGTATAAAGCTAGCCGTGCAGGCGGCTGGGTGGCGGGACACAGCCCCGCAGCTCCCTATTACTACAAAAGAGCATCATCTTTACAACATATACCTACATCCCAAGAGAATTCCCCAGACATTACTCCAAATAGAAAGATTCAATAAACACACTACACAAATGACATAAGGGCTGGGGATGTGGGTCAGTGGCAGAGGACTTTCATACACAGCTGCCTGGTTTCAATATCCAGCAATGCCTAAATAAACTGCACAAGAAACCATTTTAATTGCTTTCTATGCTTCAATAAAACACTGAACAAAAGCAGCTGTGGGAGAAAGAATTTACGACATCTTTCAAATTAGATTGGCATCAAGGGATGCCAAGCCAAGAGCTCAAGCAGGAACCACAGAGGAAGGAAGCTTACTGACTCTCTCCCTCTAGCTTCCTCAGCTGCCCAAGAAGGCACCACTCACAGTGAGCTGGGAGCCCTACATCAATCAGCAACCAAGAAAATTCCTAACAGACATGACCACAGGTCAATTTAATGGAGGCAATTTTTCAATTAAAATTCCCTCTTCCTAGGTATGTCAAAATGACAGGCAAGATTAGTCACACATAAGAATATGTTCAGACAATAACAAAATACCGAATTAAAGGTACCTACTTTAGTAACAAAAATATATCAACTTCTCAGATAATAAAACAAATTAAGGTTATAAAAAAAAACTAAACACTATATTCATGGGTGTAAGATTATTTATCACAAAAATACAATAACTGGATGTCATCACAATATCATTAATTTTCCTTAGGTCAGTTGATTTCAATGTTGTTATCAAAATTTATACACCGGCAAGATGGTAAAGATGCCCATTAAGAAATCTGATGTCCTGGGTTCAATCCTTAGGCTCCATATGGAGATCCAACTCTCAAAAGTTGTCCTCTGATCGCCAGGTATATGCCAAATAATAATAATAATGATGATAATAATAAAAACAATTCTTGAAAAATTAACACAAAAAAAGCAAAAGTAGTACAGGTTGAATTCCTGTGCTTCAAAATCTAATTCTTCCCCTGCATTAGTTGCCATGGTGCCATGGGTTACAATAAAAACTCACATAGAATGGGTGAAAGATAATTGTCTTCACAATTGTGTCAGTTAATAGCAAAGGTTGCAGGTGGTTCTGTACCTGATAAGGTCTCCTTTCCTGATAACCAGGTGACAGCCTAATCAGAATGCCTTTCCACGCAAAAAAACAAGTAATTCTTTTAATTTCTTCGGGGAATCAACCATGCCTTAGACAAATGCTCCTACACTGTGCTAGCACCCAGCCCTTCCTCCTCTTTTAAATAGGGAAGTTCAGCTGTATGGTGTTAGCATCTCACACATTTGCTCATTTAATGCTAATTACCTCCGATAAGCCCTATCTGCAGATACAGAAGTTCTGGGGAAAGGATAAACATCTCATCCATAGCCCTGACTGCCATGCCTTTAACCAAGTGAGATGCTGAAAAAAAACGCAACATTCACATAAGCCAACTTGGAGCCTCCCTCTGCTGTCTGGGCTCCCTCTGCACTGTGAATGCAAGTGATGTACAGTCTTCGAGAAGAAGCCGGAAGAGCCACATGGAAGGGATGCACAGTACTCTAAGCACAAGTCAGAGGTGTCACCCACAAGTTCACATTTTCCCTTTGTCGTAAGGCTGAGAATGTACCACACAGAGATTAAAAAAATCTTTTTCCTCTTTAAGTCAGAGAAGTAAACACTTTTATGCTGTTGATGGATAGGTTAGTATGATTAGAAAAAAAAAACTTCCTGGAAAATTAATCATCATTATAAACATCACCAGAAATAACAAGCAGTGTAAGGATGCTGTTATAAACTGTCTTAAATGCTAACTAAAACTGAACAAACCCTAAATAAAAAATGACACTTAGCCCCTACCAGTGGTGTAACTTAAGTTACATTTTACTTATATTATTTAGGATACCAATTAATGTAATACAAGTATTGCTTAGCACAGGGAAATAAACATAAACAACAATAGTATATTTCAGGTACCGGCCATTGCGTTTGGAGACTGTAATACACAGTTACGAATGGAGATTACACACATGCCAGTTGATATGCATAGAAAGGAGAAAGGAACCAGCAGACATCTAAGAGCATACAGGACTAAAATCTAAACATGTTTCCATCTCATCTTTATGCTTGAAAATAGTTTAAAAGTTGCCTCCTCTAGTTCAGGCAGAAAACAAATGGAAAAAAAAATGTTCTGTGGGCTAGGAATGTAGCTCACTTCCACAGCAGTCAGCTAGCATTTGTGAATTCCAAGTTTAACACAGTTTTCAAATCCTATAATTAAAAAAAAAAAAGTCAAGAAAGAATAAAACGGATTGGAATTCGGGATTTGGGGGTCAGATGGAGGACTATAAGCTGTCTACAGGTGACTCCAAGAACGAGATGACCAGAGTAACAAAAGACAGACTTTATTCTGAACAAAGGGGGAGAACACCGAGAAACACACCAGAGGGGAGGAGAAGCTGAAAGGCAGTGACCTCAGTTCAAGCAACCCAGAGAGGAAAAGCGAAGCAGCCTTGGGGAAAACAGACTAGCAGTGGCTACCTACACAAGAAGTGGTCCATCGCAATCCACCGCGGCCGGGGCGGCACTCACAAGGTCCCATCATTCCTCAGGGAGTATTCCTTAGTGGTGTTGCCACTGATTCAAGTGCCCTTGCAACCAATAATCCCCTACCTACACTCATGCCAGCAACCCTACTTAAATGCAGAGGGCTATTAAAAACTTAAATACAGAAAAGGAAGAGCAAGGCTTATTGGGAAGAAATATTCAGGGGGATGGTGATAAAAGGATAATGGGGGATTGATCAAAGTATAATATGAAATTCTGAAATAATTTTTAAAGCTGTATCAATTATGTTAAAAGTCAAATTCGTAATAGTTAAAATGTTTGTAATCATCTGAGAACAGAACACAATACCCCCTGCTGCCCTGCAGTTGGTAGGGAACTAAAGGCACAGAGAGAGCTCCAATAGGAGCTGAAGTCACTTTGCAGGAATGAGACAGGCCACCTGGGTCCCAAGTACCAGCCCATCACCCACCCCACAGAAAGAGGGGACCTGGGGCTCAGACACCCAGTATAGGGTTCCCAACCTAATGACTTGGGAGCCACCAACAATTCCCACCAATTACAGTCCCTGGTTCAAGACGCTGGCCCACACACTCACCATTTCTGGCTTCCAGGGCATCGAGCGTCTTCCCTATGGAACTCCCCGCACCAGCACGTCACAGGGCAACAGAGTCTACAGCACAGCCACCTAGACCTCCAGAGTAGAGGAGACTGAGCCTAGGGACGCATAAGGCCCTAGCAAGACTGGGAAAGGCTGCCCCCTACTGTTCATCTGTCTGACTAGACATTCCTCAACCCAATGCCTTCAGTTATACAGGAGGGGCTGCCTTTCTAGGTCCCTAAGTAACAGGAGAGTCACCATCCCATAAATGGAAAAAGCCAGCATAACAGGTACGGTGAGTTGAACACCAATCATGTGTTTACACATCTACATGTATTTCGGTGTGACCTAACAGTATCTTTCAGTAAGAGGAAATCGGTACCTATAAATCATCTATTGCTTTGCCAATATAAGCAAGGTGTCATTAAATTTGGAATCCTATCTATCATAAGGGGTGATAATTATCTGCACTAGATGTTATTAAATACAGTATGATTGGGCTGGCCGGTAGTTTAGGCTAGGATCAGGTGGGCTCTTCTTGGTAAGTGCACCTACCTGATGGTTGAGGAGGCAGCTGAGCTTCAGAGAGTGACCTGACTGTCATTTGGAGCATCTTGATTCTCCTCCTTGATTCTTATCCACCAGTGCCCTACTGTGGCCTTCCTCTCAGGGAGATAGGAGGGATCTGAAAGAAAGGATGAATGGATTCCAAGGCCTTTGCAGTGCAGGTACAAACACAGCTTCATAAGCGATGTGACAAAAAGGGAACCCTGAATCCAAGGTTCAGGAAATAGAGCTCCCTTTCAATGGGGCTGTCCCGGTTATAAATCTGGAAAACTAATAGCGACTTGCTAACATCCTGACACTCAGTATCATTCAGCCGCTCCTTGCAGATGAAGTTTCTGCACCTGTTCCATATCAAGGAACTTCTCCCTTCAGGTACTAAGCAGCTGACCTAACTAACTGGACTCTTGAGTTGCAATAAAAGAAGAGAATGTGAAAGTGGAAGAAGGGCCTAGTAGGGGTGCCTGAGGGGAGTAGGGGTAATATGATTAGAACACATTGTACACGTGTGAAACTGTTGAAGAATAAAAAAAAAACAGGTGTATGTTTTGGTTGTGAGTGTACCCTTCAATGGAGCCATCTCTCCAGTCCTTAAAATACTCCTAAAAAAAAAAAAAAAAAAGCCAATGTGATCCAGGACAGGAGTCAATTCCGTCTGACTACAAACGCTGCCATGTGTCACCACCAGACAACAGGACTCACGTAACTGACCTTGTCCTTTTCAGTCCTAGACAATGAACACTTATTCTAGTAGCAGAACTCAAGAAACAAAGGAGCAACTGTGCATTTCTGATTCCTCATCACAGGAGAAATTGAAAACATGCCTAAAACACACAGGTGTGCCAATCACTTCCACCACTTCTAGTGCTCACAAGTAATTTACAATTTCCTGTACAGATAAAAACAAATCAGTGTGCCTGGAACATCCTACTGTGAAGGTGCCCTGAAGACATGATTAGAGAAAGCATTTCCTCCTGTTGGAATTTCGAGAAAGACACAGCTAAATAGCCTGCATTTGGTCTTTGATTTTTTTCACTAGGCAAAGCTGTGTTCAAACACTTGAAATGGATGCGGCAATGAAGCAAATACACAGGGCACACTGAGGAAGTTCCTAGAACCCTGAACCCCCTCCCATTCCTAAGACTTAAAATCCTCAAAATTAAAGTTGCAATGGGCCAATGCACTGGAATGGCAGTAGAGGCCCACCTAGAAGTCAATGCTCTTTCACGCTTCCAGTAGTATGTGATGTGAGGGGAGGGCCAAACCTATTGCTTTTTAAACCATTATCTTTTGTTGACTAATCTGTAAGTTGGTCTTGAGGTAATATAGAAATCTCGGCACTAGAGACATGGCTCAGCACTTTAGAATACTCGCTGGTCTTCAGAGGACCCAAGTTCAGTTTCCAGCATCGATGTCAGGCAGCTCACAACAACTTGTAACCCCAGCTCCAGGATATCCAGTGCTTCTTCTGGCCTCGGAGGCACCTGCATGCTAATGGCATACACTCCCACAGATACACACACATACATATAAACAAAAGAAATGTACTGCTAAGTTGTGTTTCTGTCTTAACCATTCACGTAGGTTTACCTAATCAGTATCATTCGCTCAACTCTGCAATTACTTTGTCCCTGACTGAACCCAACACCAGATGTGTCCCAGCCTGCATAAGGTAGTTTTCCCCTAGCTTCAGTGAGCATGACGAGAAGACGGAGCACTACATGAGGGTCAGTGTCATCCACAAACGAAAGCTATGACACTAAATTCAAACAAACATGGCAGTGCTTAGGGTTCGCCCAAGGGTGAGGACCTCAAAATACTACAACTGACCTCACAAGGACACGTGTGGTCATGGCCAGCACTAAAACAAAGCTCCATTCTATTGTTATTCTCAGATACTTAGGTACGCAAAACGTTAACAGGTGTTACTTTTTGTTGATGTCACCCGCATACTAAAACATTCACGAAGCATTCCTGTGAAACTCAGTAACGTTCTGCACAAAGTTCAGGAGTCAAATGACTTGTTTTTTCTCTCTTTTCGTGTTATATTCACTGGAAAGTTTTTAAAGTCTTTGAGAGATTATTTTTCTCTAGTCCTCTGGAATTTTTTTTAAAAAAAAAATAAACCATACAGTATTGTATATTTAAAATGTACAATGGGGAACAGTTAACATAATGGAAACTGGAAGTTGGTGTTTGAGAAGGAAGGAAGAGAGGTAAATTTGGGGCAAGTGCTCACACGGAACAAGGAGGGGAGGGGCTGGCATTCGTGATTCTGGATTTGGGACTCCAAGGACCAAACCTTCCTGAAAATTAGAGGAAACAGGCGAAGTCACAGGAAGGGGGGGGGGGGGGGACGGGATAAGCATCCGGTGGACGACAGTTCGCCTCCAGGAAAAACCTCACAGAATAGGAAGAACAAAACCTAAGACAACCTGCAGAAGTCAGGCAGTCAGCGCAGGGCTGCGCACCTTGTGAGCCTGCAGCAGTCGCCACAGCGGGAGGTACAGCCCCACTGCCCAGGGGACCCTGCACGGCCGCCCGCTCCGCCTGGCCGCAGACCCCGCACTGCCGCAGCGCCTCCCGCTCGCGCACCGCCACCTCCGGGCGCCACACGCACACTCACCGGGTCCGCTTCTCGGGGCCGCGGGCGCCCTCCTACCATTGCCCTGCACCCACGGCGTCACCGCGCCACCAGAGCTGCGCAGGAGCTTCCTGGGCAGCAGACACACAGCCCAAGATGGCGACTCCCAGACAAAGGCCGGGAGACCGCCAAAGCCCGCCCCCGCCCTCTGCCTGTGTGTCTGATTGGGCACGTCTCAGTCCAGAGCTTCCGATTGGACAGGGCTTCGCGTCCTGCCCGCTGAGTGACAGCGGTTGGCGCCAACGCAGGGCTAAAGGAGTCCAGGATGACAGGTTCTTGACTGCAACCAATTTTAAGGCAGGGAGGGCTTCTTGTGAAGCACAATATATTCCTGTAATTGGGCATTTGCGATTTACCCTCAGAGCCTCATGTCTAATATCATATAAGCTTATGAATTATATGTGTGTGTGTATGTGTGTGTGTGTGTGTATACACACATACTAGTCACAAATAGAAATAAGATGCCAGTTTTCAAAAGTCTGTAATATTAGATAGGTTATGGAACTATAGTTGATGCTTTAACAGAACCAGATTTCACACACACACACTCACACACACACACACACAAGCGAAGCTCGAATTGTCACTGTGCCTGCCTCCACAACCTTTGGCTAGTAGAACTGAGTCTACGTTATACTCAAAAGTTGAATGTAAATGATCTTGGGCAGACCTCATTGCTTTTCCCTGGCATAACCAAGGACTGCCTAGCAAGGCTTAACTTTGTTTACAGTAAAGATGTCCTGTCTTCTGAATCCTTACGAGCTAGAGTTTTACTTTACTGCAACCCTACCAAGGCTACCTCAGAGATTACCTGGTGGTTAGTTTTTGGGGTGAATGTGTATGCGCTTATGGGTGTCACCATGCCCTGGTTGTGCATACATAGAGGTCAGAGAACAACTTGAGGGAGTTGATTCTCTCCTTCTACTCTGTGGGTCCTGGGCATTGGACTCAGCTTGTCAGGCCTAGAGGCCTATGCCTTTACCCACTAAGCCAGCTCACTAGCCCCACCACACCCACCCCTCCACCCCACCCCACCCCACACTTCTTTAAGAAGTTATCCTTCTTTTTTTACATACACTATGTATTTCCATCATATTCACTTGGGACTCTGCCCACTTCTTGATCCATCATCACTCAGCTCTAACAGGGATGCTGGCAGGTGGTTTCTGGGTGGTTTTCTGAGCTCATTTCCTTGAACAGACAAAGAATTGAATATCTGGGAAGGAAAGTAAAAGTAACTGCTTTTTTCTTTAAGGGTGGGAGGAGCCACAAGCCTGGGTGTTTGCCCATTGCTCAGTGGACATTGGCTTTGGTATTTCATAGGGGCCCCTGAGTCCTCCCCTTCCCCCTACTGGTCCTCTTTAGATACCTATCCTTGATGTCATTTCCCCTGATAATGTCTTCTAGGAACAAGAATCCACCATCTCAAGGAGGCTGCTTTCTATTTCCCCATCTGCCTATGTTCCTTTAACGCCACTCCCCCTAACCCCTTCCAATTTTGAGCTAGCCCTCTCCCGCTCAAATTGTGTGGCCTGTATTCTCATGGATGTGGATCCATACTCTTACTCTTAAAGAAAACTGATTCTCCTTTCCCCAGAAGCACTCAACTATAAATAGCTCCTCATCTAATGTTGGGGGAGGGTGGCTCCCATTCTGAAATGTTGACTGGCTTTATCTCTTACAGGCTCCTCCAGCTTCAGTGAGTTCATGAGTGCTTCCATTTTGTCATGTCCACAGTATAATGTTCAGGGTCTCACTAAGTATCTGTGGCTGGAACTAGTTATGTAGACCCTGCTGGCCTCAAAATCAGGGAGCTCTGCCTGCCTCTGGGCAGTTTCAATGTTGTGTGAGATTGTTTTTACCCAGCAAAGCCCTCAGCCGGCACTTACCAATTAACACAAATCAGTGCCTACAGTGGGTGCTTGGGAAACTGAGCTCAATCAGAAACAACATGAACAGTTGAATACAGCAAAGGATTGAAATTAAGTAGTTCAGTTAAGACTGAAAAGCCACAAAGCAGCAACAAATATTTTCATGCCAATTTAAAAAATCTGCAGGAGCTGGAGAGATAACTCAGCAGTTAAGAGCACTTGCTGCTCTTGCAGAAGACCTGGGTTAAGTTCCATGCCCACATCAGACAGCTCACAACCACCCCAAACTCTAGTTGCATCAGATCTAATGCCTTCTTTTGATACAGGCCCAGTGGTGCTCACCTTTTGATTCCAGCACTTGGGAGGCAGAGGCAAGCCTATCTCTGTGAATTCAAGTTCATCCTGACCTATGTAGAGAGATCCAGGAGTCCTAAGTAAAACCCAAAAAACAAAAAATATCCTTCTTCTGACCTCTGCAAGTACAAACACATACATGGCATATACTCACATAGACACAGACTAATTAAAATAAATAAAACAAATGTTTTATAAGTAAACATAATGAGAATTTGGAATAATATCAACTGAGGAAGCTATCGAAAATCTAAAAAAAAAAAAAACAAAAACACGAGTCTTATGTTTAAGTGAAGGTGTTCGCATTTGGAGACCCCTGAGTCCAGTTGTTAAACAGTTGGGGCTTTTGGACTATTAGGGATATAATATATATTAATAGATATTTATATATACACATACACATACTGTATATATATGTTTGTATTGTGTAGGTGCTCTTGCCTGTACATGGGAAAGCTAGAGGCTGATTACAAGTGTCTTCCTCTATCATTCTCCACCATTGTGGTAGTTTGAATAGGAACGGCCCCCAAAGGTTCACATATTTGAATGCCTGGCCGTTAGCGAGTGGTGCTACTTGAGAGATTAGGACTGGGAGGTAAGGCCTTGTCGGAGTAAGTGTAGCCTAGATGGAGGAAGTATATCACTGGAAGTTTCACTGGGGGTTTCAATAGCCCAAGTGAGGCCTAGTGGCTCTCTCTTCCTGCTGACTGTGGATTGGATGTAAAACGCTCAACTTGCCTTTCTAGCACCGTGTCTGCCGGCATGCCACCACTCTTCCCGCCCGCTAATAATGGACTCACCCTCTGAAACTGTAAACCAGCCCCAATATAATGCTTCCTTTTATGAGTTGCCATAGGCATGGTGTCTCTTCACAGCAACAAAACACTGACCAAGTCAAACAGGGTCTCTCACTGAGCTTGGAATTCTCCTGTCTCCACCTCTGCAGAGCTGGGATGACATACGGCTTTTCACATGCGTGCTATGAATCCAAACGCCAGAGTTACTGCAAACACATTACCCACTGAGCCAGTTGTTAACCGACCTGGCCTGTCAGCAACGTGCTTTAGCCGATGCTCCTGATACAGGCAGAAAAGGTTTTAAGGAGTAATTTTCCTTTTACTTCCAGAATCCTGCCATCTCCATGGGAACAAGTGCCCAGCAGTCAGCTAGAAAATGAAATGTTGTTTGCAGGAAAATCAAGCAGTGTCCCTGTTAGCAACCAGCTCATCTCCTGCAGCGGAGCCACCTCATCTGGCGGTGGATAACTACATACAGCAGGCGGAGCCCAGTGGGTTTTTGCTTAGGTTACTAACCAGCCCCAATTTGCACTGGATACTTTGGAAGGGGCTTGCATCCAGCCTTACTTAACAAATCGGCCACAACCTTAATAGACAGGTAGGAAGGTAACGTAAATGACACAAGCAAATTATCACGTGCTACCTTCAGCGTATTGAAAGCAGATTTGAGGGGTGAGGAGGTCCTCCCTTGTCTACTCCAAAACTCCTTGTCCTGAGTCAGGCTGGCTCCCGGGCTCTGTAACAAGGAGAGCAAAAGCATAGCAAACATGCTACATTATCAAACATAGTGCATCATTCAGAACCGCTAAAAGCTAAACCACTTCCAACAAACTTCACTATGGTTCATTCCACGGTTGTAAAAATACTTGCAGTAGGAAAGAGAGGCTGGCGCTCATTTGAGGGGACAAAGATCTAGATCAGGAACCCCAGAGGACTGCCTCAATTCCCCTCACCAATTTCTGCTGCCTGTTGGTTTGTTTTTATTTTATTTTATTTTTTGGATTTTTCAAGACAGGGTTTCTCCGTAGCTTTTTGGTTCCTGTCCTGGAACTAGCTCTTGTAGACCAGGCTGGCCTCGAACTCACAGAGATCCACCTGCCTCTGCCTCCCGAGTGCTGGGATTAAAGGTGTGCGCCACCACCGCCCGGCTTCTGCTGCCTGTTTGTAAACACAATATTTAGTGTTGTTACTCTGGGCCTCCCTCCTCCTCCCTGTGTTTATTTATTTATTTTATGTGTATACATTTATGTGTCTGTGTGAGTGTATGCATACATGTACATACAGGCGCCCTGGAAGCTAGAAGAGGGCATAGGACCCCTTAGGATTGAAGTTACAGGTGTTCTTGAGCCACCTGTGTGGGTGCTGGATTGGAACTGTGGTCCTCGGGATGGCACACCAAGGGCTCCTAAGCCATTTCTCCAGCCTGTTTGCCTTCTTACTCAGGCTGGGCCTTCAGTTGTCCCTGCTGGATATTATAAACTCCTGCTTTAAAGATGTTTTGCTATCTATCTGCTGCTTCTCTTGATCAGCTCCGTGCAATTTATCTTTTATTATTTTTTCTGCTTCTCGTACACTCAATAAGCACACCTACTCACAACCAGAAGTATGGCTACCACAGACCGTTTTCTGGACTATAGAGAAAAGCAGGTTGCCAGGACTGAATGACATATTGTTTACAAGTTACCTGGCTAACAATAGGTTTCATGTAAACACCGATTTCCCTTTCCTTTCGTTAGATGTTGTTGTGTTCACAGAAATATGTATAGAAATATACTGTTCCAGAAATCACGCAATATCCCACATCACAGAAGGAAGCAACATCCACAGCTTGATCATTAGAACAAATAGCAAAATTGGGAGGTTATCTTTTGTTAAACTCTACAGACCAAGGCTGTAGCTAGATATAAAGACATAACATTTTCTCCTCTCGCGACCCTACAGTCCCTGCCTGCCTCTGCCCAATCTCTGGAAGAATAGGCCTGTCTTCAACAGCTCTTGGGAAGCAGTGGTTTACTTTTGGGCAGTTCTGATTGAAGTTCTCTGCTCTCTTTCAGGCTGCTGTGGCTCTCCTCTCTGGGCTTCAGGAGAAATACCAATA